CAAGACAAACGTGCAGGATATTTCAAAGGAACAAAATATTTAAAATTCAAACAGGCGTCCAGAAATTCCGTTAAGAACGTGCAAATAATTTTTTGATATGTTTGAATTTTTATATTTTACGATGTTAGCGGCGCATGCATGAAAACGCTACCGCGTTGGCGATACGATGTTAGGCGCGTTTCGCTTTTTAGGCGCCGATATAAGGCAATCCACACCCCGGGTAGATCGAGGGTGGGAACATTGCACGCTTCTGAAGTAGCCGTGAGAAGCGCTTCCCAGATAAACACAAGCCTTCGATTGTTGCAGCATTTAATTATTTCCGTTCTGGGCCATAATGGGTTGTAGCCTTGCTCGAGAACTTTTTTAGCGAGCTCAGTAGAACATCTTCCTTTGGCTACGTCATCCTGATGCTCAGCAAGGCGGGAGGCGAGCATTCTTGTTGTTGCTCCTATGTATCTTGTAATATTTCCCGTTACCGGATTTTCTAGGTGTATCTTGTAAACCCCTGACTTTTCTAAAGTGGTTAGCCTGTCCCGGTCGTTGCAGATACATCTGCGCAGGCTTGGTAGGGGAGTTATGGGTAGTATGAAATTATGTCGTCGAAATATGCGGCTGATGCGTATAGAAATTGGTCCAAGATACGGCAATGATGATTGGATCACGGATGCTTTTTCCTTTCTGTACAGCGTGGTACATGGGTATAGGGCCTCTTTTACTTTACGGAGCACATGCTCGTATTTGCCATATGTAAATCCTGCAAGAGATACCGCTACTCTGATGATGTCTAATTCCATTTTTGTTGCTAGCTGTGTCGATGGAAGCAACAATGCTCTTCTAACCAGTGCAGCAATGGCGGCATTGATATACCGCGACGGTTGGAAAGCATCTGCCGGGATAATATACGGTAACATATCAGATTTGTGGTGAACAGCAAATTGCGGCCCCTCAACCGACTTTTGTATACACAGATCCAGGAACGCTATTGAATCCTCATGCTCCCTCTCCCAAGTGAACTTGATTGTAGGGTATATGCTTGAAAGATGCTGCACAAATTTGATAAACTCCTCCTCTGTATTCTCCCATATTATTAGGATGTCGTCGACATAACGTAAGTATAGCGACGGATAACTGATGGTAAGAGGGGAGTTGAAAATTCTACGCTCGACTTCTCTCATAATGAGCTCGGCCAAGACTGCAGATAGCGGAGAGCCCATCGGAACTCCTCGTTTCTGCAAGTAGATGCTCTTGTTAAAAAGGAAATAGTTGTGCTCAGTGATGAATGTCAGCGCATCACGTATGTCTAGCACTTGTTGTATGTTGAATCCTTTTTTGATGATCAAGGAGTTAGCAAGCATTACGGCTTCAAAAACAGGTACCGATGGATATAAGGACACCACATCCAATTTGTAGAAAGTATAGGAATCTTTAGGCGTACCCCTCATGCTGGAAGCAATGGTGGACTTGGCAGCTATAGACGACGGGGTAACATATTGTGATTCCGGAAGAAGTTCACGCAAAAACTTTGCGAGCGCCTTTTCAAGGAAATATGTAGGATGCGATATGTATGTATATCCATCGGTACCTGTTTTTGAAGCCATAATGCTTGCTAACTCCTTGATCATCAAAAAAGGATTCAACATACAACAAGTGCTAGACATACGTGATGCGCTGACATTCATCACTGAGCACAACTATTTCCTTTTTAACAAGAGCATCTACTTGCAGAAACGAGGAGTTCCGATGGGCTCTCCGCTATCTGCAGTCTTGGCCGAGCTCATTATGAGAGAAGTCGAGCGTAGAATTTTCAACTCCCCTCTTACCATCAGTTATCCGTCGCTATACTTACGTTATGTCGACGACATCCTAATAATATGGGAGAATACAGAGGAGGAGTTTATCAAATTTGTGCAGCATCTTTCAAGCATATACCCTACAATCAAGTTCACTTGGGAGAGGGAGCATGAGGATTCAATAGCGTTCCTGGATCTGTGTATACAAAAGTCGGTTGAGGGGCCGCAATTTGCTGTTCACCACAAATCTGATATGTTACCGTATATTATCCCGGCAGATGCTTTCCAACCGTCGCGGTATATCAATGCCGCCATTGCTGCACTGGTTAGAAGAGCATTGTTGCTTCCATCGACACAGCTAGCAACAAAAATGGAATTAGACATCATCAGAGTAGCGGTATCTCTTGCAGGATTTACATATGGCAAATACGAGCATGTGCTCCGTAAAGTAAAAGAGGCCCTATACCCATGTACCACGCTGTACAGAAAGGAAAAAGCATCCGTGATCCAATCATCATTGCCGTATCTTGGACCAATTTCTATACGCATCAGCCGCATATTTCGACGACATAATTTCATACTACCCATAACTCCCCTACCAAACCTGCGCAGATGTATCTGCAACGACCGGGACAGGCTAACCACTTTAGAAAAGTCAGGGGTTTACAAGATACACCTAGAAAATCCGGTAACGGGAAATATTACAAGATACATAGGAGCAACAACAAGAATGCTCGCCTCCCGCCTTGCTGAGCATCAGGATGACGTAGCCAAAGGAAGATGTTCTACTGAGCTCGCTAAAAAAGTTCTCGAGCAAGGCTACAACCCATTATGGCCCAGAACGGAAATAATTAAATGCTGCAACAATCGAAGGCTTGTGTTTATCTGGGAAGCGCTTCTCACGGCTACTTCAGAAGCGTGCAATGTTCCCACCCTCGATCTACCCGGGGTGTGGATTGCCTTATATCGGCGCCTAAAAAGCGAAACGCGCCTAACATCGTATCGCCAACGCGGTAGCATTTCCACGCATGCGCCGCTAACATCGTAAAATATAAAAATTCGAACATATCAAAAAATAATTTGCACGTTCTTAACGAAATTTCCGGACGCCTGTTTGAATTTTAAATATTTTGTTCCTTTGGAATATCCTGCACGTTTGTCTTGTTAAAATCTTATTCTTTTCACCTGAAGACGACGATTATACATTCGTCGAAAGTGCTTGTGTTAATACTAAAGAAACTTTATTAACGCTGAACTCAGTGAATTTGTATCCATAAGTTATACAAACATTGGCGTGAGTTTTTAAATTTATTTGAACAATTTTGGCCTTACTCTGAGGTCGGATCTCACGTAGTGAATGAGCGAGTGACTCGTGAGTCATAGTCACTTGGCACAACTGTTCAATGAGCAATACATAATTTTAGATATAACCATCCATGGTTATTCATGTGCTGACTAGGGATGACTCCTGGGTGATTATAGAAGTCATCTCCAGTTGGCACTGTGAGTAACCAAGCAATACATATTTTGCTATAACTACATATTTTATTGACAATTTAAAAAACAACTGAATTCTACTGTAGAATTATATTATACAGGGTGATTAACTTGAGACTGAGTACTTACTTTTGTTCAAACCTCATGATTGCAAAGTAACATTTGAATAACATGAAATGAAAAACATAGCTTGGCCAACCAACTCCTCTGTCATGGAATAAAGAATTGTTCTGTTTGTATTTTATGCTCATTTTTCATTTGATGCAGATATATTCCACATTATAAGTGAATAAATTCCACAAATAGTCCTGGATGTATCTCATTGTATTTCAGAATTTTTTCAGGGGTCTGCTCCTAGATCATCTTTCCCTGGAATATTCCTAATCCTGAGACTCCCAGTAAAGCTATCTCATAATTTGCATAGCCACATCTATAGTTGGTCTAACTACACCTCTCATATTCATTCCAGGAATGCAGTTCACATTTAAAAACCATAATTGTGTTATGTTGATTGAATTAAAAAAAATACTTTACATAAAATAATATGCTTAAAATAAAATTAGATATAATTAGTTGTTTCATATAAATTTGCTGATAATTTTAACTGTTTAAAGTATATTAGATGTGTGTAAGTTTTTACTATTCTTCTGTTATCCTGTAAATTTTGAAATTGTGTTGAATCTATAGAAAAATTTTAAATTGTTAAATCAAACAATTTAATTTAAAAATAAATTATCTAAATTGTTTAAAAATCTATTTTAAATTTAATTTAACAACTATATTTAATAAATTTTTTTCAGTAATAGTGACTGAGTAGAAAAATCATTTCAATATGTTTTATCATGTGATCTTAATACTGTATATAAAATCCTCATTAGCTTGAAATTAGAGACAAAATAATCATGACTTTGAATTAATCAAGATTTACATATTTTTGTATAATATGCCAAATACCATGTAACTGATGTAATTTATTAAGCAAATGGAATATGGCTACTTATACTTATGGCTACATTCATTAATTAATAATTATTCATAATATAAATAAAATGCAGGTAAACAGCATGTGTCTGGGCAACCTCACAGGTTGTCAGATCAGTTTTATAAAATGTTAAGCAGAATTCTCAAAATCTTCCCAAATTATTCTTAAAGAAGCCTAAAAAGTAGTGAGTCACCCAAATCTAGTAGCATAGAGCCATACAAATATCTCAATCTGCTACTTTTAGCCCAATCTTTCAATCCTAAAACCCAGCCATATTTTATGAGATAAGAGAAAATGGGTAGTCAATGAGTAAAGTGAAATCCAAAAATGTTTTACTGTAAAAACAAAAGCATGCTGAACAAGTTAGATTTGTTCATGGTCTATTATTCTCTTATAGGATGAAGGCAAGTGAACTTCAATCTAAACATATGCATATCACAGTTCAAACAGAATTTCACTTTGAATTTCAACATAGCCATAATTGAAACTAAATTCCCTTTAACATGTAAATCTCTATATCTGGAGTGTGACAAATAGTACAGTTATGAACTAATGGGATTTCAAACTATCTGAGTTCAAATTAACGAGGATTTCCTGTATATTATTAGTTTTTCATTACTGATTTGTTATTTTAATCAGTAAATTCTTTAAATATGTTTTAAGACTGTTTTTATATGAAATAAGTATTTTCGTATTTAATTTAAAAAATATTTATAAAAATTTTATTCTAGAGTTTTGAAACAAGTAAATTTTGAAGCACAATTTGCTCAGCTTCCTGAATATAATCCTGAACAGTCTCCATCAGGTATTTCTTCTCTTCCAAATTCTCCATTTGTACAGAATTATTGTAAAAAAAGACGATTGTCTAGTAAGTATTAACAAAAAGTTATTATTATTTAAAATAAAATAATTAATAGTCTATTTACTTAAAACAAACAAACAAATATTTTCATAATAATTTCTTTTTCTTCAAATTATCAACAAATGATTCATCAAGAGTCAATTTGAAATTAAAAGTTACATTTTTTTTTATATTTCCTTATTCACTGAAATATAAAAATCATTTATATGGACTAATAACATATGATAAACAACATTTCCTGAAAGTTCGGTCTAATTTTCTGAAATATTACATTAATCAAAATAAAAGAAGTTTGAAAGTAACGTATAAAAAATAATTTAAATCTCATTACTTAATACATTTAATAAATCTGAATAAAGATGATGTACTAGCTACTGTGGTAACTTAGCTGAATCGCTTAATGCATTTTTAACAGTTGTATTTTTAAATAAGAGTAATTAATGAGATATTCTCAGTTAAAAGACAAATTCTAGTGTTGGATGAAGGGAAAGTCTTCAATAAAGTAGACAAGCAGGTGGGGTGGGCTATGATGGTGGTGGTTGATATGAGTGAGTGAGGACATACTGCCAGCTATGGGAGTATGTTCTCACTCACTTTGGAGTCCTTGTTATTTATACATGTATTGGTATCAGTGATTATAAATTTCACATCTCTCCACAATGCTGGCATGGGAGTGGTGAGAAACTGTTTGGATTTCAAATCCAATTTATTTTTTAACTATTCTTTAATTTGGATAGAACAACATGAAAGCAGAATAGGGAACAATGACTTCATTGTGAATCAGTCCTATTATATATATATATATATACACACTGAGTGGCCAAAAAGTTAGAGAAGCCCCTTTGAATTTGAAAATAAATCAGTCTGACAGTGATATAGAATGACATAACAACACAGAGTTGCTTATATAAGGTATGCTCAGCTTCAGATGATGTAGTTATCATGGAAGTTAATGTCAAAATGGGTAAGACGAAAGATTTAAGTGACTTTGAATGATTATCTGTGCAAGAAGAGCTGGTGTCAGCATCTTTGAAATGATGACTTTTTTATTTTCTTGCCCAATAGTATCGCGGGTGTTTAGAGAGTAACAGTTGAGAAAAAAAAACTTTAAGCAATTTGGACAATTCTAGTTGAAAAAGGTTGGTGAACAAGAGAGGTGAAAGACGATTAGCACACATAGTCCACAGCAACAGAAGGGCAACAACACGACAAATTACAGCTGAATTCAATGCAGGTGCATCACAAAGCATATCTCAATGCACAACAAAATACACTTTGCAAAAGATGGAGTTTATTATCAGGAGACCATCAAGAGTGCCTTTGGTATCACAGAAAAATAGGAAAAGGCACCTGTTGTGGGCCCAGGAATGACGAAATTGGTCACTTGAGGACTGAAAAAAATAGCCTGGTCTGATGAATCTCATTTCCTTCTCCAACATGCAGATGGCAGGATCAGAATATGGCACGAAGAGCACTATTTCATGACCCCTCCTGCCAAATGACACTTCTTCAGGCTGGTGGCAGTGGAATTATGGTCTGGGGAATGTTTTCCTGGAATACACTAGGTCCTTTGATATTTGTGGACACATCTCTGAATAGAACAGCTTACTTCAACATCACTGCCGATCACGTACACTCGTTTATGGCTGTAATGTTCCCTGATTGAGATGGTCACTTTCAGCAGTTCCCATCAGGCATTTCTTCTCTTCCAAATTCTCCATTTGTATAGAATTATTGTAAATGCACTTTGATTTGTAATTTGTAAATGCTCTATTAATCTCAAATTGGTTTGAGGAACATCAATCATAGTTTAACCTGCTTTCATGGCCAGCTCAGTCCCCTGACCTTAATCCTATGGAGAATTTGTGGGACAAAGTCAAAAGATCACTTCAAAGCTTGGAAACACCACCATCCAATCTGATCCAACTTAAAGCTGCCATTATGTTAGCATGGGCCAACATTCCTTAGCAATGGTATCAGCAACTTGTTGTCTATACCAAGAAGAATATCGGCTGTGATCAGAGCTAAAGATGGACCAACTCATTATTAGAGGGTGTCTTTAATTTTTTGGCCACTCTGTGTATATGTATATAAATTATTGTTAATATAAATAAAAGACTAGATTACTCTGCTTCAAATAAAACTAAGCAAACAATAAAACCTCTAACTTTTAACTTTAGTTAGTGAAAATCTATTGTTATAAATTACTTTCCAATACTGGGATATAATTCTGTTTAAACATAGAGAATGCCTAAACCAGCATACCTCAAATAAACTCTTTTACAAATTTTTTCATCTGTTTATAACAGACATCTTCATCTTCAGTTATATATAATGAAGAACTAACAGGCAAAATTAAACTTTGTTCATAAAAGCTTGTTCAATTTTAATTTTGTCCATTTGGTTCTGTGTTATATATACCCGAAGATGTCTGTTATAAACAGATTAAAATGTTAGTAAAAGTGTTTATTTGAGGTATGTTAGTTTAGGTGTTCTGTCTATGTTTAAATATTGTTAAAAAAGAATTAAGATAATTATAAAATTATTTTAAAAAAAATTAATACTTTCTAAAATANTGCATAGCTGATACAAATTAAGTAAAAAATGATCAGTTTCTCAGTTAATTTTTACTGACAGAACAAAAGACGCAGAACATGTGGTCGAGGTCAATGTGGACTTCACGGACAAGGTAGAAGAGACATTTTTTCGCTTCACATTAATTAGTCTTTCGAGTCGACAGCCATGCCAATCTTGGATTTGTATTATATTTCGACACTATTGTAAATATCACATAGCCAATCCAAATTAAGTAAATTATTTGCTTAGGTCATTTCTCAATTTTTACCAACAGAACAAAAGACATGGACTTTGCGAACAAGGTAGGACGTGCCACGTACAGATTTTAGCCACACTGCTAAAGATGCTATACTAGGGTTGTCATTACATCTGATGACATTACAATTGGGTTAAGCTGTATATTGTTTGTGCAAAATAAAAAAAATAATTTCAGACAATACAATAGCCACAATTATTTTTTTCAAAAACGGGAAATTTTTGTTAGGAATTGACAAAAATTCAACCTGGGCTGACATGCAACAGAAAGAAATTTCTACATAGATAGGTTAATTTCACCAAAAATGCATCGTGGTCGACTTCATGGACATGGCCGGTAAAGTCTGAACGATCGCACTCAAAACCTGTGATGCCAAAGAAGATTTGAGAATGAGAAGGAGACCCGCTTGAACTTCAAAGTGATTCTACGTAGTAGTGAATCTCCGAGACATAGTCTTGTCCCAAATATGGCTTTGCTGTTTTACTTGTTTATTTTAGATTTGTATTTTTATATTAAAATGAATAAAAATTTAGAACTTTGTACTGTATATGCAAGATAGCATTAAAGAATAACTAAGTTTTATTTATTAAGAATATCAATGCAAAGTTTAAACTGATGAAATACAGTCACTAATTTTGTTTTCATTTTATATCTAGTAATGTTTGGTTGGTTGTTACATCTTGAAATATCTGCATTTGAACAAACACTTAATAATAAATCTTTCACAGAAGCTTTTGCAGAATTATAATATTAAAAGAATTGTCTTTAATTATGTCAGTGTTTTTCTAACTTTTTCTACTAATGGTGCCCAACATCAAAATTTTTTTCTTCACAGTATCCCTATTTCTTTATTAATGGAGAGTTACTGCATTTTAATAATGCATGCATGAAGTGTTTTAGCACTGTTCAGCACTATATTTCATGGCAGTGAGGCCTAACAATGGCTAAATGTAAGAAACCACTAAACACTAGGAACCAAAAAATTTTTTGACAATGAATCTCTCTTCTTTAACAGCTTTTGTGACCTGCTCTACTTTCTGAGATGAATTTTGGATCGTCTGTATTTTTAAGTTGTAAAGTTTAAATTGAATCTTATTTTAAAACATTTATTATAATTGATATGTTAGCACGAATAAGAACTTAAAACAGCATTTTCCATTATTAAACGATATCCAATATACAAAAGAATCCTGTACAAAGTTATGTAGTTGTGAACTACCGGGGAGGTCAGGAACCGTTGACTCTCCTTTTCAGCTACAGGTCGTTAAACCTGCCCACTTGTCAAGATGGCTAAATTTCGAATGTGGTCCCGAAGGGTCGGGATTCTTTTTTGTCAGGTTGAGTGGAGGAGGTGAGAGGGGTCGTTGACGAGGCGATATGCGAGTAAAAGGACACCATTTAACAATGGAAACAATGATTTATTAGATTTACAAAAAAATAAAGATTACAAAATTCGCTATCTCCTAACTCGCGGAGAGAGAGTTTACAATTATTTGTGTCATACCTCTAGTAGATTTCAATGTAGGCACAGAGTTCGATGCACAAAGTAAAAATTCCTAGAGACTTAATCCTTTCAGACCATAGATGTGAGACTCCTCCAAGGAAGGGGAAAGAAGTCGCTTTTATAGCTTCGAACAGGGGAAATTGGTCAGGTGATCCCCCTATTGTGAGAGGTAGAGTTGGTCCTGCAGGTGTGGAGGTTAAAGTTGTTCCCAGGACCAAAACAAAATGACAAATTCAGACTTTAACTATAAACTTTTTGTCTTGCAGAAGAGGAATGTCATTGTTTGAGGGTTGAATGTTTATATTAACGATGAAAGTTATAAGTTTCAATCAATATTTGATTCTTTTTTCCCGGCAATGTTATTTTAACGAGGAGGCGACAAATTTATTTCAAATATATCGAAAATTTTAGGGGGGAAAATGAACAATTTTGATAACTTATGGATACAAATTCACTGAGTTCAGCATTAATAAAGTTTCTTTAGTATTAACACAAGCACTTTCGACGAATGTATAATCGTCGTCTTCAGGTGAAAAGAATAAGATTTTAACAAGACAAACGTGCAGGATATTTCAAAGGAACAAAATATTTAAAATTCAAACAGGCGTCCGGAAATTCCGGACGCCTGTTTGAATTTTATAGCTATAGCTGCCAAGTCCACCATTGCTTCCAGCATGAGGGGTACGCCTAAAGATTCCTATACTTTCTACAAATTGGATGTGGTATCCTTATATCCATCGGTACCTGTTTTTGAAGCCGTAATGCTTGCTAACTCCTTGATCATCAAAAAAGGATTCAACATACAACAAGTGCTAGACATACGTGATGCGCTGACATTCATCACTGAGCACAACTATTTCCTTTTTAACAAGAGCATCTACTTGTAGAAACAAGGAGTTCCGATGGGCTCTCCGCTATCTGCAGTCTTGGCCGAGCTCATTATGAGAGAAGTCGAGCGTAGAATTTTCAACTCCCCTCTTACCATCAGTTATCCGTCGCTATACTTACGTTATGTCGACGACATCCTAATAATATGGGAGAATACAGAGGAGGAGTTTATCAAATTTGTGCAGCATCTTTCAAGCATATACCCTACAATCAAGTTCACTTGGGAGAGGGAGCATGAGGATTCAATAGCGTTCCTGGATCTGTGTATACAAAAGTCGGTTGAGGGGCCGCAATTTGCTGTTCACCACAAATCTGATATGTTACCGTATATTATCCCGGCAGATGCTTTCCAACCGTCGCGGTATATCAATGCCGCCATTGCTGCACTGGTTAGAAGAGCATTGTTGCTTCCATCGACACAGCTAGCAACAAAAATGGAATTAGACATCATCAGAGTAGCGGTATCTCTTGCAGGATTTACATATGGCAAATACGAGCATGTGCTCCGTAAAGTAAAAGAGGCCCTATACCCATGTACCACGCTGTACAGAAAGGAAAAAGCATCCGTGATCCAATCATCATTGCCGTATCTTGGACCAATTTCTATACGCATCAGCCGCATATTTCGACGACATAATTTCATACTACCCATAACTCCCCTACCAAGCCTGCGCAGATGTATCTGCAACGACCGGGACAGGCTAACCACTTTAGAAAAGTCAGGGGTTTACAAGATACACCTAGAAAATCCGGTAACGGGAAATATTACAAGATACATAGGAGCAACAACAAGAATGCTCGCCTCCCGCCTTGCTGAGCATCAGGATGACGTAGCCAAAGGAAGATGTTCTACTGAGCTCGCTAAAAAAGTTCTCGAGCAAGGCTACAACCCATTATGGCCCAGAACGGAAATAATTAAATGCTGCAACAATCGAAGGCTTGTGTTTATCTGGGAAGCGCTTCTCACGGCTACTTCAGAAGCGTGCAATGTTCCCACCCTCGATCTACCCGGGGTGTGGATTGCCTTATATCGGCGCCTAAAAAGCGAAACGCGCCTAACATCGTATCGCCAACGCGGTAGCATTTCCACGCATGCGCCGCTAACATCGTAAAATATAAAAATTCGAACACATCAAAAAAAAAAAAAAATTATTCTTAACGGAATTTCCGGATGCCTGTTTGAATTTTAAATATTTTGTTCCTTTGGAATATCCTGCACGTTTGTCTTGTTAAAATCTTATTCTTTTCACCTGAAGACGACGATTATACATTCGTCGAAAGTGCTTGTGTTAATACTAAAGAAACTTTATTAACGCTGAACTCAGTGAATTTGTATCCATAAGTTATACAAACATTGGCGTGAGTTTTT